AACCCAGCCTTAGGCTGTGAGAAACATGCAAGAGTTTAGTTAGATCTCTTACTACTACAGGGGTTTGGACAAAAGTGTTAGTTCTAGGAGTTCTGCAGTTCTCCCCTGTTAGAAACTATAAGGATGTCCATGGCTCTATTTATGTGAGGAAACATTATATAAATGGTTGATGTTAACAACCTGCCAAAGATTATTTTTCTTAGTCCCTCCCTCCTAGGCCTTTTGCAACCCCCACCCCCCAACATTCCAGAGAAAGGGGAGCAATCTTGTGTGCAACCAGCTCTCCACACCTGGCCCCCACAGCTGGATCTCAGGGTGATCTCCTTTACCAGCTGGAATGATAAATACCTTCTTCCAGGACAGCAGCCCTCTTTATCTTGCAGAAGGAGGCAATCCAGGCTTGGTCCTTCGCCAGGGCACCATTTTCCTGCAGACTCTACAGGAAAATAAATTTGTCTGAACTGTGGCCTAAGCAGGTCAAGTCTTCAGTAGAGAGGTCAACTTTAGAAACAGTGGCTATTCTTGTGTCTTCCCTTTCTCTATCCTCCTTCCCTTCTATATTACAAAAGAAGTGAACACTTAGAGGACAGAAACTTTATCCTGTCTAGCCCATGCCAAAGAAGATGCTCTCAAGAGAAGAGCAGTTTGAGAGAGGCTGCTTGGACCTTAGGCCTCAGCTCCCAACTCCCTCCCTAACTCTTCCCCTTTAGAAAGGAAATCATCCTCACTGACTGATGCCCTGAGTGGCAACTAAGCAGGTGGTTTCCTGTAGGACACTGAGGTCTGCTTAAATGGACCACCCATAAGCGTCCATAAAAATATCTTGTGTATTGGAGTCTACAAATAATATATTCTTGATGCACCTAAACCTCACTAATTCATAACCACCTGGGGTTAACATTTGCCTGAAGTATTTTCTAAAGAAAACAAAGACTAGTGATTCTAACAACCCAGGAGTTGTTTGACTTCAGCTACCCAGGTGTTGACAAGTAGTAGTTTTAAAAGCAGTTGTATGGCATGGAAATATCACTAGACTAAGGTACAACTGGTTTGGGTCACAGTTCCGACATCATCAAATGGTAGATGTGTGACTGGGATTTTCTATCATTTTATTGAAAACAGCATTATGTGGCCTAGAAAGATGTGGGTAACTTTACCAAGTTCACACAGCTAGTAAGTGACAGAAAAAGTACCGTCCAGATCTAGAGTTCTTAACCATTCCAAATATATTGTCCCATCCTTATCAGGTGCTTGTTTATTACTATGGTGTCTAGAGAGCAAGGGTATTAATATTTCAGGGTACACTTTTTCGCAACTATTTTTTTTTTTTGGCAACTAGCTTCAAATCCTGCCTGCAGAGAATTCCTAAAGATATTGTTGAGCACTCACTGAGATGGAAAACAAACCTTGTTCAGTGAGAAATCTTACTGTCTGGAGATCCCCTCTAGGAAGAAAGAAGGAGACTGTGGGGGTCTTGTCTGAACATGAAAGACACTTATGAGTTGGTCTATATTGTCAGTATTGGAGGATTTAGGGGCAGCAATCCTTGGAGCAGGGGGAATTTCCTTGAAATCTAGCTCAGGTTTTCCTTGGATTGTATGTTTATTTCTGGATGGCTTGTGTGTGTATACAGAAGCAGATGGAGAGAAAGTGCAGGCAAGGCTTTTCTAACCACTCATCCCTGAAAGAGGGCACTCCTGGGACTCAGGAACTGAAAGTGATTATATTCTCCATCTTATCTCTCTAAGAAGGATCCAAATCACTGAAAGTGATTATATTCTCCATCTTATCTCTCTAAGAAGGATCAAAACTATGATCCAAATCATAGGTTAAAGAGGACTCTGGATGGAATATATACAGGATGATGAATCCATATCTAACCAATACTTATTCTGCAAGCCCCAATGTGGCCAAAACTTCAATACTTGTTGGATGTTGATGGCCCACAGTCTGCAAATGAACTCAGGCCTTTCCATCTTCCAAATGAGTTCAGAAAGATAAGAAAGATACTTTGTCTGGTATTCTAAAGGCTTAATAGCAACTGACTTATATTGTAGTAATTTGTACAGCATCCTCTGTAAGTCTTGTTTACCAGACACTCACTTCTACCCCTAAGTATTTCTTAGTGGGTGTTAATTCTAAATTGGTGCCTGAAGGATGGGAGTACTCAAATCTCTCTTGGTCTTCAAAGGAATGGCTGTGGCCACAGAGAGACTATACCTTTTCCTACACCATAGGCATGTGCCCTGCAAGTCTCACTCTTGTCACTTCTGGGAAACTGCATGTGGTCTCTGTGACACAGGACTATTTCCCACTTCTGTTCTTGCACTCTGAGCAACCCTGGGCAGGTCAGAAGTTCTTTCAGGTCATTGTTCGTTCAGGATTCCAAAAAAAATTACTTAACACTTCTGGAGCTCCAGAAAAGATGATATTTGACACTCTGTGAATGAGATAAGCAGATAAGGCTGGAGGCTTGAAGAGGTTCAGCTGGAGAAGACTCATAGGGCAGAGTAAGGAGATTGGACAGAAATGCATATTCCATACCAAGACAGCTCTCATGGAGCCCCAGTGGTGGTACAAGGAAGAGCCTGGAGAAATTTCAGCTTCACTTTCATTCTCCTGAGTGCTATCATCTTGCCTCTCCACTCTGACCATGCAGCCTTTCTTTGTATATCCCAAAAGTCAGAAAATTTGAGGGGGAACATTGGGCAGGCCTGGAGTGGGGCTCCTTGGACTCCAAGCCCAGCTCTCATTGACTGGCTGTGTGACCTTGAACATATTACTTAAGCCTCAGTTTCCCTTAGTGCTAAGTGGGACTATTAAAATGCTTCTTAGAGAAATGGTGGAAAGATTAGATCTAAGAACATGAAGAACCCAGCACAGTGCCTGGCGCATATTTAGTGTTAAAACAATTTGCAGCATTACATTGATCATTGTTGTCCAGATGCTACACGTTCCCCGTGGCAGATTTCTGTCTCTCTTTACTGGAGCCCCCCAGAAGAGCTGACATGTTTGTGAACCCAGAAATTGCACCAATCCAAAAAGTCAGAGTAAAAAAACTTGGCAACTTAACGTGCTTGCTTCCATCCCCTCTCCCGTCTCACAAGCATGTACAGGTTAAGAATGAGAGAATTGCTGTTTAGCACACAAGCAAGACTCTGCTCCAAGGTCCCAGATTTTGAGTTGGATACTCTCCCGCCTGACAACCCCACCCCACCCCATTTTCAAGAACCCTTTCAGATCGGACTCTCCAATTACTCATTTTCTCGTTGCTAGAAGCCCTGCCCTTAGCATTCAGACTTTGGAATGCTACTGATGGGAAGATCACTGAGACTGGGCTGTATTGCCCTAGCAACCGCGGAGTGCGCCTGCGCAGTGGCATCCCCAAGCCGACAGCTCTAATTAGGCTTCTGCATCTCAGCCGGTCAGACTTTGGATACAAAAGGACATATCTTCCTTCTCCCTGCCACTCCTCCAGCGAGACGATTGTGTCGTTCTCTTCCTGAGGCTGATGAAAATGTGAGGAATGTCTTCCAACTCCCTCCCATCTGATAGGAGGTAGCAGATGGGAGTAGCCACCGGTGATCAGACGGATGAAAAAGGCAGAAAGCTGGCGTGTGCAAGGAAATGAAGACGTAGATCCTACGCTACCGGTAGGCAGCAGCCCCCACTCTTTAATAAGTGATTTTCCATATGACACTCATCCTTATACCAGGGCTCCCTCTCAGAAATTGTTACCTGCTGACTCTCTAGGGAACGCTTATGGGGAGCTATGAGCCAGGTTAGAAGCGGTAAGGGGGATCAGAATGAAGAGAGCCTAAATGCGAACACTCAACAGCTTGGGTGCTGAAATAAACTGCATTGGCAGAGGATCCCCTGCAGAGTTCCTCCAGGTATATTGTTCAGTCTGACTGAAGGTGCAAGGCCATTGTTGGCTCTCAAGAGTCACTCTGAGGATATGGGCCCTTGTTACCTCTGCCACAGACTTATTTCTCCTACTCCTCCCTTAAAGTCATTGTCTTTCTGAGCTATTTCAAATTCTTCATAGGTGCTTTACACACTGCCTCTGTCTTCACTAGCAGTCCTTCACTTCCTCTCCCCAACCTCAGATCTTACAATAGATGTCACTTAAGCACATCTTGTCCCCAGCCCTCCATACCACTTCATCCTCCCCACCACTATTCCTGACTAATTTCCCACTCATCCAGGCTTGACACCTCTGCACCTTCCCCAGACTTTCTTAGATGCCATCACCTTCCCACTACCCTTCCCAGCACTTAAAATCAGGAGTTATTCCTGTGGACTCTCATAGAACTCTGAGCTTATGCCTATTATGCAACTTTCCATAGCATAATATAATTGCTGGTTTACTTCCATGAGCCCTCCCCCTTAAGCCCTGGAGCCCGGCTGGGTCTTCTTCACTCTTATATTCCCAGCACACAGCACTGTTCTCAGAGCATGGCAGGTGCTTAATAAATGCTTATAGAATAAATGAATGCATAAGCATGGTGTCTAATTCATTATGCTTTTATTGCAAATACAGGTAAATGACAGTTATATGTATATATATATGGAGAGAGTTGTATATATGTATATAACTATATATAGTTATATATATTTTATATATAACTATATATAGTTATATATATAGTTGTATATATGTATACGACAGTAGACACAAAGGGAAAGCAATCACAGATCAGTGGTTTTGTGTTTGTGTGTGTGTGTGTTATTGTTATTTAACTACTGTACCAGACCATTTTACTGATTATTTCAAAGATGTAAATATTATCAATACATTTTACAGAGATATCTGAACTTTTATACTGAAACAAGACAGGGATGGCAAATGAAAAATTCCATTTATAAATATTGATCATTAACCTAATTCAAGGGTATATTAAAAGGAAGGAAATACTACTAGAATTGGAACACAGACAGTAAGCACAATGTGTACTTCCCACCCAATCCCTCCCCGGATTCTAATTTAGAGCCCCAATGCCAATTTTACCAAGGCATCTTTAATGGATGCCACTCAGCTGAAGTGATACATATTCCTTAGACTTCACATGGGACCAAGGAAGAACATGGTAGTTGCCTCAGATTTGGCTCTGGCCTCCTCATCTTCCACAGCCTCCCTATATTGTTCTGGCCAGTCCTGTGGTCGCTTTCTGTAGAGCCTGGCCATGTACTCCAAGACTTTCATTTTGGTGGTTTCATGGTGAGCTCGAGGACCCCATAGAAGCTCATATTCAACTGGGTTAGAGTAGGACAGTGGCCTGCATTCCAGATAGCGCTGTCTCATAAGCTTACAGGTGATGGCATGCTTTCTCCCTACATCCACACTAAATCTTCGAAGCAAGTTCCAGACATTGGCCTCTTTGACACGGTTGCCCATCAAGAATATCAAACCTAGGATTGGCATTACATATTCTTGAGTGGGTCTCCCCAGGCTCTCTAGCATCACTTGCTCTTCCTCTGATTCTGGTTGCTGGACAAGGAGGTAGATGTGCTCACTGGTATCAACCTCAATCAGAGACAACCCATAGAACATATCAAGAATTAGAGTAGCTCTATTGAGGATATTTGGGAACACATCCTCAAATTCTTTGCCAGTGTGAGCCAATAGCTCATCCTGATGTATAGGCAGCAACTCCTCAGAGACACTAATAGCCAACTGGACCAAATCATTTGCCTTATCATTCATAGTGTCCTCCGACCAGAACTCTAAGCCAGCAGTCAGGCTTCTTTCTTTGATTTTGTCAGCTTCCAGGGCCTTGTTATATTCTTCTGGCCAGCTCTGGGGTTCTTCATCATGGGCATCTGACACAAACTTCAGGGCTTCCATCTTTGTGATTTCACTATGGGCTCTAGAGCCCCACAAGAACTCAAATTCAAGGGGATTAGTGCCATACACCGGCCAGTACTCCAAGAATCGCATGCGCACAAAGTCAGTGGTGAGGAGGTTCCTTGTGTTCCCAAAGAGGTTATTGATCCTCTGAGGCTTATCCCACATATCAACTTTTAGCAGCAGGTCCCAAATGGATGCCTCTCTTGCTCGGTTCCCATTCAAGAGGATGTGGCCTAGGACTAGGGCCAGGAGACTTGCTTTTGGCATATCCAAGGACTCCACTATCCTATCGGTGATCTGGGAACCCCGTTTGCTGACTAAATTGTATGTGTCAGCCTGTGGATCAATAACTCTCAGATTCAACCCAAAGACCCGGTCCAGGTGAGCTGAGGCTCGTCTGAGGATCTCAGGGAACTGATCTGAGTACTCTCTGAGAAACTCCAGCATCTCGGACTGCTGAATAGACCCCTCCTTCTGGCTTTTCATTCTCATGAAATTCACCAAAGCAATCGACCTGTCTTCTAGAGGGTCGTGGACCCTGAGCGCCCCCAAACGTCTGGACTGCTCGTCGATCAGGACTTCCAGGTCATTCGTGTCCTGAACGGCCTGGCAAGTGTTGACACACTGAGGGTCGATTGGTGCCTGAGGGCACTGGGGGACATCAACGACTAGCATGGGGGTGGGGGGCTCGGAGGCATTAGTAGCTTGTATTTCACCTCTGCCGTCGCTGTAATCTGCAGTGATCTCTGCGTTACAGCGGCGTGCATTCTGGCTTACCAGAGACATAGTTCCAGGAGACAGGAGGGGGAAGGGTGAGATCAGCGATCAGTCGGAGAGAGGACCGTAGCAGTGTTGGTGCCTCGGCACAAAGCTGAAGCCCGAGACCCTGGAGCTGGAAGGATCAAAAGTGATATCTGGTGTGAAGAGCGATCTTTCTACACAAGCGCTGGCCAGCAACGACTGCAAGCCTCAGAACGTTATTTTGCCGCAGCCTACGCAGGCGCAGTCAGGCTTTGCATCGTAGTGGCCACGCCCCATTCCCTGTCTTCCTTGCCTTGCCTCTCATTCCCTCCCCCTCACCTCTGAAGGGCAGGCTAGGCTGGTTGAAGTGGTTGCTGCTGAACTTGAACTTGTTAGAGAAGAGAATTCAAGAAAGGGAGTAACAGATACAGCAAAAGGGTCAAGGGATGAGGAGCGTTCAGTGATGCTCCCTCCACTTGAAGTTTTTCTGTGGGGCATAAAGCACCACGCTATCAGGTGGTAGAGGATTCAGAGAGGAAGAGGAGGAGCAGAAGGTGGAGGAAGGGAGGAGGAGGAGGAGGACGCTAACGATGAGAATTATTTTACTGACTCGTTAAAGCATCCATTCACTCAACAGATATTTACTGACCACATGCCACATGCCAGGCACAGTGCTGTATATCAGAGTACAAACATAGTGATTTTTCCCTTTTTGTGTGGTGCTTACATTCTGAGGTAGGTTCAAACAATGGTAATAATAATGAGAGATAGCACTTACGGAGCACTGACTATGTGCAGGCACTGTTTCTGGTGCTTTCACTTTCCTCGTACTAATTCATATAATGCTAGCTATTAGGTAGCTACTCTTAATGATCCTTATTTTACAGATGAGGAAACTGGTTCATGGAGGTAAATGTACCTGTCCAAAGTCAAGCAGCAATAAAAGAAAGAGACCACTCAGGTCTGTCAGTCTCAAGCATATTACTTTCTCTCACACCATCTGATCTTTAACCTTATTTATTAAACATGACTCATAAAATAGATGCTCTGGTGGAGGGTCAATTAACATGTGATACAAACGCAGAAGTAAGTAATGAATTACAGCTTAGTCTGGGGTATGTTAAATTGTGGACAGTTTCCAATAAAGCCTCAAGAAGAAGTTGAACTCTAAGTGATGAATACATGGGAAGGGTTTTAGTAGTATTCTAACCTGAAGTAACAGCAACAGGAAAGGCCTAGAGGAGTGTAGTTACAAGTTTGTGTAACAGCCACTCTCCAGGGTGACTAGAGCCAGAGTGCACTAGAATGGGTGGGAGATGAGGATGAAGGTTGCTAGACAGTAAGGACTGGATTTTCTATTCTTCACTTAATATGTCAAAGTTTGTTGTGGCCCCACAGGGCAGGAATGGCCGCATCAGACTAGAAGCTATTTATTCAGAGGGTTTATGTATGTGTATGCATGCCAGCACACATGTGTATTTGGGGAAGCATAATCCAAACACTTTATCCAGGAAGAGGTGAGTCAGCTGCTTTATTTTCTGAGAGCTCTACTAAAATAATTGGGCTAAAACATAGCTGTAATCCTAGACTTCAGTCACCAAGTTGAAGACTATGATGGTTGCATTTTTCAGTGGGGCATTGGAAAGATAAAAGATTTATATAGGGTTGCCATCTGCAGTTACAACTGAAATTCTTCCTTAAATTCTTGATGGTAATGAATACTGTTACATTCCACAGAATATTACATTTAGTAATCTTATGCCCTGGAATTCTTTCAGAGGCCACTGTCTTCACATGTGGGGGTTACTCACCTCTGAAATTGTCTACATCCCAGATGCTTTCTTCAGAACTGAAGTAGGTAGCTCAGGGCCACGAATTTAGTCAAACTAGGCTAAAGAGATCAATGTTTTCACAAATGAATGTGCATGTTCTCATTGTTTAACTCCCACTTATGAATGAGATCATGCAGCGTTTGGTTTTCTGCCCCTGTGTTAGTTTGCTGAAGATGATGGCTTTCAGCTTCATCCATGTCCCTGCAAAAGACATGATCTCATTCCTTTTTATGGCTGTGTAGTATTTTATGGTGTATACATACCACATTATCTTTATCCAGTCTATCATTGATGGGCATTTGGGTTGGTTCCATGACTTTGTTATTCTAAATAGTGCTGCAATAAACATACATGTGCATGTGTATTTATACTGGAAAGATTTATATTCCTTTCGGTATATACCCAGTAATGGGATTGCTGGATCAAATGGTATTTCTGTTTGTAGATCCTTAAGAAATCACCAAACTGTCTTCCATAATGGTTGAACTAATTTACATTCCCACCAACAGTGTAAAAGTGTTCCTATTTCTCCACAGCCTCGCCAGCATCTATTGTTTCTTGAGTTTTTAATAATCATCATTTTGAGTGGTGAGATATGGTATCTCCTTGTGGTATTGTCTTATTGACTTGCATTTTTTTAATGATCAGTGATGTTGAGCTTTTTTTTATATATGTTTTGGTCACATAAATGTCTTCTTTTGAGAAATGTCTGTTCATATTCATTTTGACCGCATAAATGTCTTCTTTTGAGAAGTGTCTGTTCATATCCTTTGCCCACTTTTTGATGGGGTTGCTTGTTTTTTTCTTGTAAATTTGTTTAAGTTCCTTGTAAATTCTGGATATTAGGCGTTTGTCAGATGGGTAGATTGCAAAAATTTTCTCCCATTCTGTAGGTTGCGTGTTTACTCTGATGATAGTTGCTTTTCCTGTGCAGAGCCCTGTGCAGTTCAATTAGATCCCATTTGTCAATTTTGGCTTTTGTTGCAATTGCTTTTGGCAATTTTGTCATGAAGTCTTTGCCCATGCCTGTGTCCTGAATGGTATTGTCTAGGTTTTTTCTAGGATTTTTGTGGTTTTGGGTATTACATTTAAGTCTTTAATCCATCTTCAGTTAATTTTTGTATAAGGTGTAAGGAAGGGGTTCAGTTTCAGTTTTCTGCATATGTCTAGCCAGTTATCCCAGCACCATTTATTGAATAGGAGATAATTTCCCCATTGCTTGTTTTTTTCCATCTTTGTCAAAGATTAGATGGTTGTAGATGTATGGTGTTACATATGTGGTCTCTGTTCTGTTCCATTGGTCTATATGTCTGTCTTGGTACCTGTACCATGCTATTTTTGTTACCATAGCCTTGTAGTATAGTTTGAAGTTCGGCAGCATGATGCCTCCAGCTTTGTTGGTTTTGCTTAGTGTTGTCTTGGCTGTATGGGGTCGTCTTTGATTTCATATAAAATTTAAAGTAGTTTTTTTCTAATTCTGTGAAGTATGTCAATGGTAGTTTGATGGGAATAGCACTGAATCTATAAATTGCTTTAGGCAGTATGGCCATTTTCATGATATTGATTCTTTCTATCCATGACGATAGGATGTTTTTCCATTTGTTTATGTCCTGTCTTATTTCCTTGAGCAATGGTTTGCAGTTCTCCCTAAAGAGGTCCTTCACATTCCTTGTTAGTGGTATTTCTAGGTATTTTATTCTCTTTATAGCGATTGTGATTGGGCGTTTATTTATGATTTGGCTCTTTGCTTGTCTATTGTTGGTGTAAAGGAATGCTTGTGATTTTTGCACATTGATTTTGTATGCTGAGAAGTTCCTTATCAGCTTAAGGAATTTTTGAGCTGAGACAGTGGAGTTTTCTAAATATAGAATCATGTCGTCTACAAACAGAGACAATTTTACTTCCTATTTAAATACACTTTATTTCTTTCTCTTGCCTGCTCCCTGGCCAGAACTTCCAATACTATCTTGTATAGGATTAGTGAGAGAGAGCATCCTTGTCCTCTACTGGATTTGAAAGGAAATGCTTCCAGCTTTTGCCCATTCGATATGATATTGCTGTAGGTTTGTCATAAACAGTTCTTATTATTTTGAGATATGTTCCATCAAAACCTAGTTTATTAAGTTTTTAACAGGAAGGATGTTGGATTTTATCAAAGGCCTTTTCTGCATCTATTGAGATAATCATGTGGTTTTTGTCTTTGGTTCTGTTCCTGTGATGACTTATGTTCACTGATTTGCATATGTTGAACCAGCCATCCATCCCAGGGATGAAGCTGACTTGATCATGGTGGATAAGTTTTTTTATCTGCTGCTGGATTCAGTTTGCCAGTATTTTTTTGAAGATTTTCACATCGGTGGTTTTTAGGAATATTGGCCTGAAGTTTTTTGTTGTTTTTGTGTCTCTGCATGGTTTTTGGTATCAGGATAATGCTAGCTTTATAATTTGAGTCAAGGAGAAGTCCCTCCTTTTCAATTGTTTGGAATAGTTTCAGAAAGAATGGCACCAGCTCCTCTTTGTACCTTTGGTAAAATTCAGCTGTGAATCTGTCTTGCCTTGGGCTTTTTTTAGTTGGTAGGCTATTAATTACTGCCTCAATTTTAGAAGTTGTTATTGGTCTATTCAGGGATTTGACTTCTTTCTGGTTTAGTGTTGGGAAGGTGTCTGTGTCTAGGAATTTATCCATTTCTTCTAGATTTTCTAGTTTATTTGTGTAGAGTTGTTTATAGTATTCTCTGATAGTAGTTTGTATTTCTGTGGGGTCAGTGGTGATATCCCTTTCACTATTTTTTATTGTGTCTACTTGATTCTTGTATTTTTTCTTCTTTATTAGTCTAGCTATCAATCTATCTATTTTGTTATTTTTTTTTTTTCCCAAAAAAACAGCTCCTGGATTCATTGATTTTTTTGGAAGGTTTTTCATGTCTCTATCTCCTTTAACTCTGTTTCAAACTTAGTTATTTCTTGTCTTCTGCTAGCTTTTGGATTAGTTTGCTCTTGCATCTCTAGCTCATTTAATTGTGATGTTAGGGTGTTGATTTGAGACTTTCTAGATTTCTGATGTGGGTATTTAGTGCTATAAATACTTTCCCTCTTAACACTGCTTTAGCTGTGTCCCAGAGATTCTGTTAACATTGTCTCTTAGTTCTCATTGGTTTCAAAGAACTTCCAGACTGTTTGTTATTATTTCAGTTTTTTTTTTGTTTGTTTGTTTGTTTTGCATTTGCGGAGGAGTGTTTTACTTCCAACTATGTGTTGATTTTAGAATTAGTGCCATGTGGCACTGAGAAGAATGTATAATCTGTTGATTTGGGGTGGCAAGTTCTGTAGATATCTATTAGGTCCACTTGATTCAAAGCTGAGTTCACGTTTTCAATATCCTTGTTAATCTTCTGTCTCATTGATCTGTC